ATCCCCCCCCCCCCCCCCACACACACACACACACACAGACGGCCAATATCACACACCCACATGGATTTATGTGTCAGGGGTTAATAACTATGGGGAAAAGAACAAGGAGGGGGTTCCAGCAATTTGCGTATGTGTGTGCACGTTGGATGTGTGTATATGTGAGGGAAGTTGTTTGTGTGTATGAGTAGAGAGGAGAGAAGAGCCGGACATCGCACAGCACAGACCACAAAAGGCTCGGTTTCGTCATTGGCTGACAGCACTCCCACCAGCACCACAGCACAGACCTTTCAGGGCTCTCCAGGAACACACACACACACACGCACACAGGCAGACAGAGGCTGGGAGCTGCGCTACAAATTTGAAGGCACTGACATTGACAGGTCTGCTGAGCTCGGTTTGTTTTAGCGTGAGACTTTCACCTCGCGCTGGGATGCAGGGCTCCTCTGGGCCTCTTTGGGCCTGTTGTTTGTCACATTCTAGGGAAAGAGTTACTGCGCATCTCCCCACAAGTTGTTTTTATGCCCTGTGTGTGTGTGTGTGTGTGTGTGTGTGCGTGTGCCTGCTCAGTCCCGCCCGGTGGATTAGTGACGTGGGTTGGAGCTCACCCTCTCCCTCTGATAAGGGCGTGCGGCGCTGACTCCCGCTCCCTGCTTCCCGTGCTCAATTTCAGATAGTGCTAATGGAATCTGTCCCGCGCGATTGTAATGCGAACGAGACTCATTTTCCACGGAGCTTGGAACTGTCAGCTTGGCAGGGCGGTGGGGGGGGGGTGGGTTGGATTGAAGGAAAGGAGAACGGGTAAAGACAGGGTTGTTGGAATGATGAGGGTGGAGTGGATGAGGGTGTGTGTGTGTGTGTGGCTGACATGCTATGGTAGACCTCTACTTTCTGCAGTGTTCTGACGTGTGTGACACTCTGGTGCTCACTGAGCATCTCCCATTAATGCAGAGTGCTGTGTAAAACAAATAAAAACACAATCACAAACCGATATTTTATTTACTATAAAATTCCGCAAAACATTTGTATGGAATTTTTCAAAAATTTTAAATAAGAATCTGAAAAACTTGAGGACCAGGCAGAGAATTCTGCCTGTTTTTTAATGATGTGCGTTTGAGCATTCAAAGATCAGAAGCAGGGCCTCTGTTTAGTTTTTA